AGATTGGTCTGGTTTGAAAGAAAAAAGGGGGGAAAAGGAAAAGATAAAAAAGGAAAAGATAAAAAAGGAAAAGATAAAAAAGGAAAAAGAAAGAGAGGAAAAAGAAGGGGGGGAAAGGAAAAAGAAGGAAAAAGGAGAAAAAAGAAAAAAGGAGAAAAAAGGAAAAAGGAGGAAAAAGGAAAAAGAAGGGAAAAGGGAAAAGAAGGGAAAAAAGGAAAAAGAAGGAAAAATAAAAAAGGAAAAAAAGAATAAAAACCAGCAGCAGAGCAATGTGAGACAGTTTAAGACATGAGGGCTCAGCTCCAAGCCCTCCTTGCTGGGTGTTACCTGAGTTCTGGGCTGCCACCCTGGGCTTCCTGGGGCTCACAGAGTCATTCTGCTCGGCTTCGTAGGATGCGGATGCACTGATCGCCAGCAGCAGGAGAAAGCCAGACTTTAGGAGCATTCTCTGACAAGTTTCCGCTAAGTGTGGGGGTTTTTTTTGGGTGGTTTTTTTTTTTTTTGGTGGCTCTGTGTGTGTGTGTGTGTGTGTGTCTCCTCTCCCACTCCGGCTCGAGCGAAGATGTGGATCTGGATACGCGTGAGAGAGCCCCAGGGAGAGAGGGGAGAGGCTGCGGAGCTCGGGGATGTTCGGGATGCGCTGGATGTGCCGCAGGATCCGGGTGGCCCCTCTGGCTCCTGCTCGTCGGGGGACCAGGAGCAGCCCAGGGCTTTTATAGCCGCCCTTATCGGTCCCCCCCCGGGCTGCGGAGCCAATCGGCGGCGCTGGGCAGAGCCAGGGGAGGACTGGACTCATTCAAGCCCCACGGAGCTGCAACTTCCCAGGAAGGATGTTTTCCAGCCAATTAAAAGTACCTGCCAAAGCAACAATAACCGAAAAGTTAATCTTCTGGTGGAGGAGCGCTGGGAAAGGGAGGAGAAGTGGGGAAAGGAGGGAGGAGGGGGGGGGACTTCCTATGGATAATTGAGCTCGAGGAAATGACAGCGCGGTCCTAAACGTTCCCCCACCCCGCCAGAAAAGCACCTGCCCTGGCGGGAGGGCTGTTTTCCCACCCGAGCAGCTTGGCAGGGATCCTTGGAAGGGGCCCCCCCTCCGAGGTGAGCGCAGGTACCGCTGTGTTCGTGCTGCTGGGGAGGCATCGCTGCTGCCAGAGCACGTGTGTGCCGGGCTGAGCCCGCGACTCACACCCTGCACCTCACGTAGGCACATGCAAATCCCCCCCTCCCTGCCCAAAACCCGAGTCCTCGGGTGCTGCCTCCTTATCTCCCCCTCACCTGCACAATTCCCCGAGTAAAGTCGTGTGTTCACGCCTCGCTCTCGCTTTTATTCCTTCCCGGTGAAGCTCAAGAAACGACTTTTTTTTCAGGTGTTTGGTGCTTTCCCTTCCTCCCCCGCCTCTGCCCCCAACCCAGCCCGATTCAATCCCGTTTTTCAGATTTCATAACGGGAGGAGGCACCCTAATGCCTGATTTAATCTTCATTTTAATAGGCACGTAATGAGAATTAACACAGCAGAGAACTGCTTATCCTGTATCCCAGAGACAATTTAAAGCTCGCGGTGTTGGAGGGATGAAAGCACAAGCAGGGGTATTAAGCCTTGGAGCTGAAAGGAAATCGGGAAGGTGCGTGGAGGAAGATTTAGAGATAAAAAGTTACAAGTCCCTGCAGCTTAGAACGAGCCAAGAGATTTAGATATCAGGTATTGCTGATCGGGGGGGAGAGATTGGAGCTTGAGAGTGCTCAGGGCTCGCTCTGCTCTCCCCGGGATCTTTTTTGGGGGAGGAAAAATATCCCTGCCCGTGAAAAAAAGGAAAACATGAAAAAAGGAAAAGATAAAAAAGGAAAAAGAGAAAGGAAAGGAGAAAGAAAAAGGGGAAAAAGAAAAAGAGGAAAAAGAAGGAGGAAGAGGAAAAAGGAGAAAAAAAGGAAAAAGGGGAAAAAATGGAAAAAGGAGAAAAAAAAGGAAAAAGGAGAAAAAAAGGAAAAAGAAGGAAAAAAGGGAAAAGAAGGAAGGTGCCAGGCAAGGAAACCCAGCTTGAGGAGATCCATGGATCCATCCACGGATAGAAATTCCATTTGATGGTCCAATTCTACACTTCAGTGAAGTGAAGGTGCAAAACCTGCGGGAATTTATTCAGGTTTAGGGGCAGCTAAATTTCAAAGTCCATAAGAATGTGAAGAGGAGCAGGAGGAGGCTCTTCATGGAGCTCCAAAAGCTGTGTCACTGCTTTACCTCACTCCTACCTCTTTTTCTTTTTCCCCCTGGAAAATGGGACCACTTTGGATCCTGCCCCATCCCAGTTTGGGCAGCACAGCCCCAGTTCCCCTTGGCATCCTGGGGGTCGGCTTCCACTGGGATAGGAACAGGAGTGAGGTTGTGCTCCTGCCTTGGGGTCAAAATAACAGCTGTGCCAGATGTTCCAAGAACAGTCAGAAAGCTCTCGGAGACAGGAGGGTTTCGGGTTTCGGCTCCGCTTTGGGACACGGAGCCAAATTCATTAAACGAGAAAAAAAAATAAAAAAAAAAATAAAGAAAAAGCAGCAGCAGCCCCGCAAAGAGTTGTGGTTTCTCTACTTAATAGATCCAGTCCAGTTTGCAAGTGAGAATAATCCCACAGGGTTTGATTGTGATTAAATCAAAAGCAACTCTGGCAGGGACTTCAATGGGGGATGAATCACGGCTCCATCCAAGGCCTATTTGGAGGGGAAACGTTGCATTTTCCACACAATTGAATTGCAAACTCCAAGCTCTGATTCCTCCACCCCTTCACCCCCAAAGGTGAACATTCCTCCTTGTCTTTTTTAATGTTTCCAGCTGAACTGCAGAGGAGTTTGCAAAGCAAAGCAGGTTGTCCTGGCCCTCTGAGCACGTATGCATCCAGCTGGGAGTCCGAGTGCAAGGAGATACTCCAGTTATTCCAGCACATTCCCTATTCTTTCCATCGTTATTCCAGGGCTGACTGACTTGATTTTTATTTAGGAGTTGTACCTGCTGCATGTTTTAATTACAAACAGCAGCAACAGGAGGTCAACCGTAAGACGAGGCTGAGTTTGGGGACGTGGCACTGTGGGATAGATTTTGGATTCTGTGCCCTGGATCAGGACACAGGCAAATAGTGGGACACCAGGAAAACTTTATTGAACCTCCAAAAAAAGGCCCTGTGGAAGCAGAACTTTTATTACTGCTTTAAAACAGCGATTTTAAACTTATTTCAGGAGTGCAGGAGCTCACGCTGAGCCGCTGTCAAATTTGGCAGGAGACTTGTACAAGCAAATTTCTGCCTGAGCCATCAGAGTCCTTTGGTTCCAGAGCGTACTTGCATTATTTATTTTGCATCCTGAGTGAAACAAGGACTGTAAAATACCCCAGAAACTTCCATCCTGCCCTCGCTGTAGGGAGTTGGATGCCAGAGGAGTTTGGCTTCTCTCCTGTACCCGAGTTTTAAAGGGAAAAAGAAACGACCAGCACAGGGATCAGGACTGTCCAAAGATCATGGTTTGCCCATTCCAGGGTCATGCTTTTAAGACTGTTTAGGGATACAGGAATAGGCATTATGGGATAAGGTTTTCCCCCCAAAATCTTCCTTGCTCCTGATCTCAGGTGGTCGCTGGTCTAGGGCACAAAGAGCTCACCAGATGAGAAGAAAAAAACCAGACAACCCAAAAATAAAAATAAAACTAAGAAGCTTCAGTATTTGTGACTAAAAGCTCAGCATAAGCTGCTGGAAGACTTTTCCCTTCCCTTACAGGTTAAATGCTGGAGGGTTTCTTTCCTGGCCGGTTCGTGGAAAGAGAAAAAAGAAAGGCACTGTTAGCCCTGGGAGAATCATCCCCTTCTTTCCATTCCCATTCAGGAGACCCTATTAAATTGCACAGGCCAGGCTATTGTACCACTGTTAGGCTATTCCCAAGGTGTTAAGATTTTTATCCAACCTCAATAAAAAATAAAAAAAAAATAGAGGGGGAGAAGAAAAGAAGAAAAAGAGAAAGGGGGGACACCCAAAGTCAATAACTCCCCCCCCTGTCCCGCTCTGTGCTCAGCTGCTCCCTGGCTGGGAATGCTGCGAGGGCAATTGTGTAACTGGATCCCTGCCCACCTTTCAGCCCCCCTTCCCCAGCCAGGACCCCTCCATTCGCTGCGCTCCGGAGGGACGTGAGCAACTGCACCTCGGCGGGAGAGAGTTAGAAACGCTCCGCTGCCCCGGCCCGGCTGCTCCTCCCAGAAAACCACCCTCTGCTCCCTCCTGAGCCTTCCCTGCTCCTCCCCGAAAACCACCCTCTGCTCCCTCCTGAACCTTCCCTGCTCCTCCCCGAAAACCAACCCCTGCTCCCTCCTAAACCAACCTTCTCTGCTCCTCCCAGAAAACCAACCCCTGCTCCCTCTTAGACAACCCTCTGCTCCCTCCTGAACCGACCTTCTCTGCTCCTTCCTAAACCAATCTTCCCTTCTCCTCCCAGAAAACCAGCCCCTGCTCCGTCCTGAACCCACCTTCCCTGCTCCTCCCAGAAAACCACTCTCTGCTCCCTCTTAAACCACTCTCTGCTCCTTCCTGAACCAACCTTCCCTGCTCCTCCCAGAAAACCAGCCCCTGCTCCCTCCTAAACCACCCTCTGCTCCCTCCTGAACCTTCCCTGCTCCTCTCAGAAAACCAACCCCTGCTCCCTCCTAAACCCACCTTCCCTGCTCCTTCTTAAACCACCCTCCACTGCTCCTCCCAGCAAACCACCCTCCTCTGTTCCCTCTCCACCCTCCTCTGCTCCCTCCCAAACCTCCTCCCTTCCCTCCC